ACGCTGCTGCCCAGGGATTTAGGGTGCCTAAAGTTCCCCGGGATTCCCAGCTGCTGGCTAAGTGTGCCGGGACGACTTTGGCCAGCTGTGTGGTCCCTGTCTCTTTAAGAGTTGCAAAAAGCACTTGCTTTTCTTTTGTCTCAGGGGCACTGGTTGCAGGCACCTGCCTGCAGGTTTTGCTTTTCCATTTCTCTAATATCCAGCACCCCATGCACCTTGTATCTGCGATCTGGGTGCGGATTTCTAGAGCTGGTTGTTTAGCAGTCCTGGGCTTTCACTCCCTCTCCATTCTGACTCCTTTCTTCCTGCCGGGTTGGGGTGTGGGGGAGCGTTCGGATCCCGCCTGGTCATGGCTTGTATCTTACCCCGTTCATGTGATGTTGAGTTCTCGCAGATGTAGATGTATCCTGGCTGTTGTACTGTATCCAGTGGCGTCTCTTTTAGGAATAGTTGTATTTATTGTATTTTCATAAATATATATGTTTTTGGGAGGAGATTTCCACTGAACTACTCATGCCACCATCTTCCCATGATCCGCTATTAAAAAGTTTTTTATCTGTTCTCTGCATTTTATTTCCTTCAAGTTTCTTTTGGTTTGTCTGATTTGTTCTCTGTCTTTTTTATTTGAGGTTTTCTTAAATGAAGCAACAAGCTGCTCTGTGTTTAAAGGCAAGCCTTCTCCAGAGGTAGTCCTTGTCAATATGGGACAAAAAGGGCTTGGACAGTTTGTTGGGAGGCTTTTAATGTGTGTATCTGGAGGTTTTTTCTCCTAGACTAGTACCCAGTTTTCCAGAGAGGAGGAGAGAGACTTAGCTGCCAGAGTTCTAGATGCTAAATGTGGGAAACAGAATAAGGGTTTCGCCTTTCAGTTGGTAAGGTTTTCATTCAATCCTCATTTTCTATATAATACCTCCTCCTTGAGTTATGCCTGATCCCTGAGTCCATAATTCCTCTAGTTCAAGTTCTCTAAAAAGTAAACCTTCAGCTTGTTGCTTGGTAGGGAGGGAATATAAAGGCATAAATTCTTCTTGTATAGTCTCCCAGCCTAACCTCCTGTTTCCAGTCCAACCCTACATCCTCGACTTTAGAGGGACCATCTGTGCTTCCAAGTCACAAACCAGGCAGGAATCAGTATTTTCCCTGTAGACATTTAGCTTTCAGCTTTCTCTGGTGTGTTAAGCCAGTTGCCTCCCATCCATCTGCTTTCCAGCTTCCAAATTGTCTGGCTGTCACATCTGCTGCTGTTTCCTTGCCTGTTCTATCCTTGTAAATTTATGCCTTTTAAGAATCCCTTTGACATTCTAATGGTGTCCTAAGAAAAATGACACTATGTTTAACCAAAAATATTTTCTGAATTTTCTACAAGTATGTATTATATCATAAAACATACTACTGCTAATGTTTCTGTTAATCTTAACATGAATTTATTTTAACTGGCTCCTCTAAACCCAAAGATCTAGTGAGGTAAGTGTGCTACTCCCTACTGCATTAGCTTCACCCATAGAACAAAAACAACTCTGATGAAATAACAATAGAATAACAGCTAAGTGTGTGACAAATACTTAACAAACACCGAATGAAAGAAGTGGCTCTCAAATGGGAAGTTGAACTTAACTGAAGTTCTAGCACATGCTCCACAGAAAAGGATATGCCTTTGAGTTACTCTTTCATCTCCCAATTTCTCCATGAATTCTCGTAGGGGAAAATCTCACACAAAATCCATGATATGACAGTAAAGCATTCATGAATTAACATATTTCCTATATGTTCAGAGTATCTCACTAATTAAGTAACAACATATGAGTAGTATCAGGCTTGGAAAACATTTTCACAGTTATTTATTTTAGTAGACTGAAAAAAACACTTAAGCTAAGTCTGAAATGTTGATAAGTGTATAAATTAGTACAGTTTCTACTGAGGTTAATTCAAAACTAAAAATGTACATACCCAGTCATCCTAACTTAAAACCACAATGACATTCATATCCACTAAAATGACTAAAATAAAAAAGACTGACAACATTAAATGTCAGAAGGGATGTGGAGCAATTGGAATTCTCATTCCTGGTGAAGTATAAAATGGCACAACTACTTGGAGAACTGCTTGGTGGTTTCTTATAAAGTTAAGCATGTACCCTCCCCATGTAATTCCACCCTCACTTCTTTACCCAAGAGAAATGGAAACATATCTACAAGAAGACTTCTTAGTGGTTTTACTCATGATATTCCCAACATGGAAACAACCCAAAAGTTTATCAAAAGTATAAGGATAAACAAACTGTGGTATAGAAAAAAATGAATATTACCTAACAATGAAAAGGAATGAACTAGATATAGACAATAATATGGGTGACTCAGACACAGTATACTGAGCAATTCTATTTATTTTAAATTCTAAAACAGGAAAAACCCATTGATAATAACAGAAAGCACTAGGTTGCCTGGGACTGGAGGTGGGAAAGACTGTAAAGAGGACTGGGAGGAAGATTCTGGGTTGAGGAGTATATTCTGTATCTTGATTGGGGTAGTATTTACATGAGTGTATACAATAGTCAAAACATATCACATTACATACTTAAAATAGGTAAATTTTATTGCATGGAAATTGTACTTCAGTAAAGGTAATAAACTATGGAAAGAAATGACAAATATAAAACTCAGGAGAATCATTACCTCAGGGGTGAGGGGGAAACAGGGATGGGACAGAAAGGAACATAAAAGCAGTTGTAATAGAACTGACAACAATTTAATCCTTAGTTGGGTATTAGGTTCCAACTAATGATAAATTTTGTTATCATTTATTATAATGTATGCATGTAACATTATTTTTACATATAAAATATTACTTAATAAAAATAAATAAAAATATGAATTAATAAAAACACATGGACTTCAGGATCAGAAATGCAGGATCTGGATTTAAGTTCTAATTAGGTCTCTTCCTGAGTAAGTCACTTAGCTTCGTTGAGCTTCTTAAAATTACTCAGCCTATATTATACTGGTTGCTAAGAGGAACAGATGAAACAATACACATAAGAGCATTTTGAAAATATAAAATACTCTACATTACTTGCAGACTTTAATAACGGTGGGTTAATTAGAAAAGTAGCAGTTATACAGAGAATATTGAAACACTGATAGAACACTACTGTAGGGGTAGTTATGACAAAAGGCAGAGGAGGGAGAGCAATGAGCCTATACTGAGCTCTCACCTTGTGCCAGGGACTGGTCTAAACTTTTAACATGAAATTACTTATTTAATACTCCTAAGAATTCTATGAGCTAAGTACTATTACTGTCCATATTTTGGAGCTGAAGAATGGGAGGCACAGAGAAGTCAGGCAACTTGCCTAAGGTCACACAGCTTTAAGAGGTAGAGATAGGATTCAGATAAGTTTGGCTCCAGAAACAATTTCTTTAACCTCCTCACAAAAAAATAGCAAGTTACATATAATATAAGGAGCTTAAGACCAAGGAATGTAGAAAGAAAGAAAAAGGATAGGAAAGTCTAGATTGCACTACATTTCAGATTATTAGACATGAGGGATATGAGGTAAAACAAGAAAAAATACATTGAATACAAATCATTTCAAACAGTATTTTCATATTTCTTTTTCTCATATTCTAACATTTCTATGTATTTATTCACAGAATAACCAATCTGAGGAGACTAATTCTGAGAGATTTAACCTTTTTCTTTAAAAGATACTGTCTTATCAGACTTGGCAAGATTTCTTTCCCCACAATGTAGTCCCCACCCTCCTCACAGAAAATGGCTATCAGTGAGATGTCTGCATCGTTGAAGTCTCTGATAATCCATGCAGGTTACTTAGCAGAAGCATGCTGCATGCAACCAGAAACGTACTAAGTAAGGGATTTAAACATGGTGTCTCAGTTTCTCCATCTGTATCACCTACCTCATAGCAGAGGCCAAGTTAGTAGTGCTGAGCTGGTGCAAAGTGTCAAATCAATCAGCATGTGACTGCACCTCCCTATGTGCGAAAGGAGACACACCCACACCCAAACTAGATGGATATTTTGTGACTTTTCCTTCCTTAAGATTTTTATGAAGGTCTTTTTATTCTGATTTCCAATACAAAAATGACTGGAAATGAGGCAGGGAGAACAGAATATTATAGCAGGCTTGACAGAAAGCAACAACCCAAATTTGCCTCTTAAGAGAAGACAGGAAAAAGTAAGATTTTGGAAAAAGAAAAAGACTTTGCAAAGAGAAAAGGGCAAATAAATTGAACGAATCACCACCACCTTAACTCTTCAGGTGAGAACACCTGTTGCTCCTAATGGGTACCAGGGCTCTCAGGCCCAGGAAAACAAGCTCGGGAATGGAAGCACTACAATCACATGGGGGAAAAAATATACAACCTAAAATGTACTTATTTAGCTTTATTTTCTAAGTTTTTATAATGAACATACTACTAGTGTAAGAAAAAAAGTTTCTAAATGTTTTTAACTTTAAACATAAGACAGAAGTGGCATAAAATATATCAAAAGCTTTAGAATTGTATATATGCAAATTAAAGCACATCCCATGTTTGTCAACAAAAAAGGGGAAAGAAAACAGTAAATTGCTGTAGTATATTATCAAGATACACAGCTTTAAAATATCAAGGTTTACAGAGAAAATTTCTGGTAAAGAACATATAGTAATTTTTGATTTTTAAACAGAAAAGGAAGTCTGAATACACCAAAACTAATTCTATTTCAAAGCATTTTTGTACAGTCTTGTCATATTTTGTTAGATACATATTACCACTTACTGAAAACAGAAAATAACTATGTTTTTATAAGAATTTAGATTTTATAATTTCTACTACTAGATACCTAAAAATAGAGTATATAAAAAAATCTCACTTTGCTATTTGTCTAGGAGAGGTATATGCAAAACTGTACATAGAGAGCAATTCCTTCACAGTAATTCAGATATGGCATTTGTAGTATTATCAGAGGCATCTTACATCCCTTTCTAATTTAAAAACATACCCGGCTCTTTGGCTGTAGCTCCTCTCTCCTTTGGATCTTCAGACAATATTAACTGCAGAAGGCATTTCCTTCCCAGGGACTTTTCTACAGCTGCTATCTAAAAAGTTAAAAAAAAAACTTTTGGGGAAACTGTTGCATTAAATTAGGAAACTGAAAATAATTTGAGAAAGGTCTCATTACTTTCTAAAACAGTCCATACAATGGACTTATATTACCATTTTTCTTATAAATATTTTCAAAGAAACAATCTCTTACCTTATGTTTGGATAAAAGAGGACTGTAAAAAAAAATGAGAGAAAAAAAGAATTAAAAAAAATCACAGCAGCAATATGCTTCCAAACAAATGTTACTAAAATGGCTGTGAAAAAAAATACAGCTTCTCTGGATTCTAATATTAGCACAGAACATTTCCACTGCTGAAACATTACCACTGGTTCACACAGTTCAAAGTGCAGCTATATCATGTGTTAATCTCCTTAGATAGCCAATTATTATTGAGAAACCCCAAAGAAGCTACAATTGCTGAGATCCAGAAAAAAAGGATGTTGACCTTTTGGTAATAATATACTTAAAAAGTATTTCACACACACATATTTTTTAAATTTTGGTTTATGTCATTATAGTCTAAAATAGATTATGGCAAAATATAATTATATTGGCATTAGCCATGGAAACAGATAACAAAAAAAGTAACTTTTTGAATATTTTATTTTAAAGAATGCCCAAGATAACACAGAATGTATATACTCACCAAAAGGCATATACAAATTGTTCACAGCCACTTCATGCATAATATTAAAAAACTGGAAACAATTTAAATGTCTATTAACAATATAATGGGTAAATTGCTATACATTCATATAATGAATGAAACAGCAAATTACCATTACATGCAACAACATGTAACACAGACATAATGATGGACCAAAGAAACTAGATACAGAAATGTGCATTCTATGTCATCAGTCATATGAAATTACAAAACATAAACACACTGTTACAGAACTTAGCTGGTGGTTACTCTGGGGGTGGGCACTGACTTGGTACATGTGTGAGGGAGCTTTCTGAGGGGCAGGACTATTCTGTTTCTTGGTTACAGTGTAGTAACATAGACATACGTGTATGTTAAAATTCATCAAGCTTTTGTACTTCATGTATAACTCAAAATTATTTTTTATATTAAAAAAACCCAGGAATAATAGTTTGGAAGAATTATCCAAATTTAAAGCATAAAAATGCTATGCTCACATTATGCTCAGTAAATATTTTTAAATAATTAAAACATTTGTAACACATTAAAAAATTATTAGTTCCATGGAAAAGGCAGGGAAAGTATCTATACTGAATATTTTGCAATTAAGAAACAATCTCCTTTAACTATTTGACAATAGTCCATTAGTTTAAAACTCTATGAAATTGAAAGTTAACCTATTTAACATGCTAAGAAATTAGGTTATAATGTGGAATCCCTAAAAATACCGTTTTAAAGGTTCAAATTGATTAAAACAGGAAAACTGTCATCATGAGAGCTGAATGAAACCAGAATCATTCTTCAAAGGCTGGTCTCTAAAATAACCAAACCCAAAAGCAATGAGCTAAGCAACATTACTTGAGTCTGTTTCACTGTTAACAGATAGAGCTTAGTTTAGTCTTTGTAATTCTGAAGGAAAAGGAAAAAAGTTATCAACAGAATGGAGTCTTTTAGCTTCTGTACTGAAGACTCAAGTTGTACATCCCAGAAACCTGCACAAGTTTAACCCTCTCACCTTCAGAATTCTGAGTCTTCAATAATGAATTCAAAAAATAAATTTAAGTGCTTTATTATTACTATAATTTAGTTCAGAAATCCAACTCTCTGATAACAAATCAAACAATTTAAAATTATCTGGTAAATGGAGTTTTCCTTCTGTAGCATTTTGGTTAAATACGATACTGTTTGTTTTCCAATATTAGACTACTCTTAAAAATATGTTTCAAAACAACATACAAACACTGGCAAATGAATACAATAAAAAATCTTAATACACAACTTTTTCCATCTGAATTGCCTGATCTCTTACCCAAAAAGAGATCAAAATTAGAAGATACATTTAAAAATTTCCAATTAGAAGTTCCAATTTGGACTTGTGCAAAGTTGACCATTTACTAATAAATTCAGTGTAAGAAACAGATAAAAACTGACACAGGAACCTAGTCATTTTATTTTATCCATTTTAACTTCACCAGTGAAAACATGAACAGAACAAAGAAATGGACCTTGCATTTCAAATATTCAATGCTACAATGCTTTTCAATATTCTATTACGACTCATTCTAAACAATTACTGATGTACTTACTATTGATGTGTTGAACAAAATTTAGTAAGCTGTTCAAAATCTTCACCATTAAAGCCTTTTTCTGAATTCCTTAGAGATGTAACTGTATGTGGTTGTACAGTCTTCCATTTTGTTTCTAAATTTAAAAGATTTGTTAGTCACTGGCTATTACAAAACATATTTAGGAGGGAAAAAATAGTTAACTGGCACCACTGACAAAGATCAGCATGCAAATTATCTTTTCCAACAGACCAAGCTACCACAGAATTAGCTCTGTGATTACTTTTCAATACAAGTAAATATCACCCCAGAGGCTCAATGAGCTAGCAGAGCATGCAAAGAAGAAACACAAATAGTTGGCTTTGATATGAAGAGCAAAAGACATAGAGAAAATTTTTCTCACAATGACATGGACTTGTGGTAAAAATTCTACTTCCTTTGCAACATTAACTTGACTGTAGGAACATCTACTTCCTGACTTACAAAACCAGGTCAAATACATTAGTTTCTAGACAGCACTTGTTAGATTACTGATAATTCCATATTCTAACATAGAATACTCACCCCACTGTTCCTGAATGGTAGAAAGATTTACAAGCAATTGCTCATGATACAGTCGTTCAAGCTGAATGAATTTCATTGCTCTCTCATCTGAACAGAAACTTTGAGGAAAATAGAAATCCAGACTATTTACATTTAGCCTCAGTTTTGAAGAAGAATGTCCTATATAAATCGAGAAATTTGAAGCTTACCAAAAACTGAGAGGACTCTAAATATCTTTAAACTTAAACAAATCTTACATAAGTTTTCTTGAAGTACATAAATCTTAATGTGGCATATTATTCAGTGGCTATTTGGCTTCCATTCTATCAGCAAATAGTAGAAACTAGAAGAAGGGTTTAATGCTCAAGGAATGCCTGCTTGCTAATATATCTCTAGCAAATGTAACTTAATTGGATGGAAATAGGACTCACATGGAATCCTGGAATCTAAGTGTTCCCCTTTTTTTCCTCTCCTTAAATTATTTTCTGTCAAGCAGCTCTGTCACCCTCAAGTCAAATGTTTCTGATTTCAATTCATATTGATCCTTGACTTGTTTCTCACTGCATTTCTCTCACAAGACTAAAGGATTACATGCCTAAAGAAGGACAGAGCAAAACATTTTATCACGCTTTGGTAAAAATTTAATTAACTCACCACAGTGATTTTCATAATTATGTGATTTCACTTTTTTTGTAGATTTTCTTATAAACTTCTGCTTTCTCCATCTGTATCACACATTTTGCATCAGATGAGGTCATGATAAATTGTCCAACTGTCTACCTTCCTTTGGGCCATGTCCTAAATGTTGACCCATTTAGAAAGAAGGAAAAGAAAAAACTTGCTGTTTAATGCTTTGTCCTTCGCATGCTGTCCCCATGTCCTTCCCAGCACTCAGAGGCTCAGTTCTCTCTCTTCATTTGTAGCCTTAAAGTCATGCCAGGGATCACAAAATAGGCCCAGAAGAAACAGGGACAATTCCATTTCCCTCTGCCCAAAACTTAAAGTACACCAATGTTTCTCAAACTTTAGGGAACATAAAAGTTATCTGAAAAACTTGCTGAAATACAGGTCATGGGTGCGTCCCCCAGGAGCCCGGATTCCAAGGGATTTCTAAAAAGCTCCTTAGGATGCTGATGCTGGCCTGCACCACACCATACTCAGTATTTGCTTAGAAAAAAAATAATACAGTTCTAGCTTCACGTCCACAAGAATTAGATCTCATACAAACTCAGAAGTGAACTGCCTTTGTTTGAAGCTGTTAACCACAGTGTGCTTGACAGAGTTTAGGATAGTAACTGCTTATCTCTCGCTCTGCTCAGAGATGTGGTGAAAGTCATCAAGGTTAGGAGGAAAAACAAGTCACAAAAATGGGGAAATACAGGTGTTTAGGACACTTTCTACAGAGCATATATTGGGCTAACCCTGAAAAAGAAAAGCAATTTTAAAAAAGGGAAATTGAAAAACTAAGGAAAGAAATCTCACCTTTACAAAAGTTAATATGCAGTCTCACTTGACAGCATTTATTCTGTTTACTACTGGTGAAGAATGCAATCTTCCCTTTGCAGACAGATAGCTGTCACAAGACAGTTGCCAGATTTACTATGTGTAATATGCTTGACAGCCTGTACTGAATGAATATTACTCAACTCACACTTCTGTTTAATTCAGAAGAAAGAAAGTCCAATGGATTAAAACTATTTTTTTTGGCAACATGTTTTTTTCCCTCTCATAACATACAGCTACTTAGATCTGATAAAATTAGGGCTTATTTATGGAAGGTCAAATTTGGTGGTTCCAGAGAATTTTCTGGAGTGACAAAAATTCCCTACATCTTACTTTCTGAGGTGGTTACACTGTGCACACAGCTGTTAAAACCCACTGAAAACAGCAGATTTATACATTTCATTGTGTGTAAACCTCAATTTTTTTAAATGGGCAGTTCTCTAAGAGTTTAATTAAGAAAAGGATACAGTCCTCCTCCTGGAAATAGGACTCTGCTATCTGTTAAACAAAAAAACAGATTAAATTAAGTTAGCATTTGGATGAAAAGACAAATTTGGAATAAACAACACCTTTAAACTCTCAAAGCTTTGATATCAAACTAAGAAAACCCTTACTTAGCTACATTCACCAGTTCAGAAGCAATCTGACTGTAGGCATGGGACACATTTCAGAAGCCACTTATATCATGTAAAGCAAACACAGACCCTCTTTGCTCTTTTTACAGCCTCATTCTTCCTATTGTATTTCAAGTCAAAGCAAATGTCACTGGTTCGTCAGAATTGAGAACTCTAAAGAATGAAGGAAATGCTGAAGGGGTTTATAAAGGTATAACGAGTGAAAGTATGACTGGTTACTGTAAAAAGTTGAAATATGTCACGTTACATGAGACCTTAAAACCCCACTCATTTCATTTCTGTTTCACAAACTACCTCATGGGGCAATGACTTCTGGTTCTCTTTTGATATTCCAGAAAAAAACAAGTGTTAATAATTGAGCAATAATGTCTGGAGTATATATAATGTGGTGCACAGTATAAATGGCATTGGATGGGGATCCAGAAACTCAGGATCTATTTCCTGTCGAGGCTTATCACTTATCAGAGTCATTCTAAGGCTCATTTAAATTAAAAAATTCTTTGATTCTAAAAAATTTGACATCTTTCACTTAGATCTTTTAGATATAACATTTATAAATATCGCAGTAAAACTGAAAGTGTTCATTGAGAAATATTTGCATAAGTTAACTGTTACCATATTCAGAATATTTCATATATGTAATTTACACTTCTAAAAGTTTCCAAGGGTTCTTGCTAAGTGTCTAGTAAAAGAGATGTTCCATTTATAGATCTCCATTTTCCAGGTAGCTGCCAATGCAAAGAGCAATAAAGTGCTTGTCAAACCTACCAGCTAGAAATAGTTTTCCCAAGTCCCGCAGTGGAAACAGCACACTTTTAAAGGAAACTATTAGCTTAAAATTTATCCTACAGATCTATCATTTTTCTATGAGCAATATAGATAACTGGACTTAATCACCTCTTTGTAAACTTTTTGTTTGAGTCCATACTGATTTTCTATTCTGAGGACAGGATAGAAAGGATAAATTTCATGATTCTGATTGTCTTTTATCATCTCATTGTTCTAAGAGTATGTGATAATAATACTAGTTTGAACCAATCAAATTGCTGACCACTTTTTTTACTTACAAAATGAGAACTTCATATACTGCAAGGAGAGTGTTGATAAATATTTCAGGTGAGCTCTGATTTGTAGTATTTGTTCATTTCTGTGGTGTTGATACTCCCTTCATAGCCAATTTCAAGCTACCAACGTGACAGACATCCCTGAATATGGTTCTCACAAGCTAGTACTAGCAGTTTCCAGCACACCACTGGATCACACCTAATAAAATCAATGACAACATTTCATCTACCAACTTCCACTGAAAAATCTATGGTGCTCCATAGAATTTCCCTACTGTGCATGGCATGAGACGTAGCTTCAGGCCGCCCATTGAGGTTGGATGTCTGGCTCTTCAAAGCCATTGTCCTTGCCTTTCTGTGTCTGCGGGCCATTGGCACAGAGTCATTTATCAATAGCTCTCACTGAAGGAGTATTGATGGGATCTATACCTATTATGAACCACATTTTCTGGCCCTACAGAAATAGAAACTTCAGTTACCATAAAGACAGGATTATGAAACCCAATGCCTCATAAGTAGTAAAAGCCATTTCCAGGTGAAAGAGCAGCTTAAAAAGTAAATATAAAAACCTATCCCTGGCAAGTCTGGCAGGGCAAGGGATGTGATTATCTTTGACATCTCATTACTCTAAATCTGGGAGGGAGCCTCGTGGAGCAGAAAGAACATAGGGTGTGGAGGTGAATAACCTGACTACTCCTGTTCGAACTTGGCGACTACCAGCTGTGTGACTTTGGACACATCATTTCACATCACAAGTCTCAGCTTCCTTATCTGTAAAATAGGGACAATACTGCTGACAATTCCATGAGGCTGCTGTAGGTATTAAGTGAGGGAATGTGTATTGAGCACAGAGCCCAGCACATGGCAGGAACTGCTTAAAATCGTTTTTGAGTCTGAGTCTGAATGAGAAGCACAAGACGCAGAGCAGAATCACGTGAAGATGTTATATTGAAAATCACTTCATTAAGGCAAAGCTTGAAGGGTATCCTGGCTTCAGGATTCTTTTACCCAACAGGAACCAAACATAGGGAGTTAGGAAGGCGTATTTTGGGGGCACAGTCTAACAGAGTCGTTTTGAGAATCCCAGGGGACCCATTTCCTGCCTTCGGATGCTCGCTTCTGCGTGAGCTCACCAAGCAGCGGACAGTGCTTGGTGGTGTTCCTACCTGCGTGTGAAAAGCATCCAAGTTGATGACTTCAGCTACACACTTCATGCTGACCTGTAGTCATGTGAGATAAATTGGTGTATGAAAGACTACTCATACCTACAAACAGGATTCTTAAATGGAATCCTCAAGAGTTCCAAGAGCTAAAAATACAAGGATTTACCTAAAGTGACTGTAGGCTTACTTCCAACCACCTTTAGCACATATTCATCCACATAATATCATTTCAAAAAACACTGTCCTCAAATTGACTCTTCCTAATTCCTTAGTTCTGTCAGTGGTACTACCAGTCCTTTGAACAGGACATCCTAGAGGCATCTCTGCTGCTTCTCATCCCCTCTTTACTATCTACATCAAGTCCCAGCGTGCTTCCTTTGAGATGGCAGACTCCCTCTCCATTTCCACTGCCATCAATGGAACCTTGATGCTTTTCTGACCTTATGCTTGAGTTATAAATGTCTTCTTTCTTATCTTTATTAAAATTACACATGTACTTGGTCTAAGGAGTTAAACAGTTCTCTAAGGTATGTAAAGGAAGCCCCAGCCCTCTTAACCCATTCTCCTTCAGGGGCAAGCACTTAGATTTCTTTCACATGTTCATTTTTTTTAACTTCCATACCTCTAAACATTATGCTTTTATTGACTATTTCTTGGTTTTTCAATTTTAGAAGACAAGGGTTGAGTCTTTTGCTCTCCCTGCCCCAGCCCTACAAACACACACCACATACACTTCCTGTCACACACACACTGACCCCTTACACTCTAGTAATGGGTAGACAAACATTTAATGTTTCCCTTATTAGGAGCCAAGCCATGTAGAAAAATCATTTATACAACCCCAAAAATACCACCAAGAGTCTAAATCTTCTCAATACATTCAGACGCAGCAAATATTAGAAACAAGAAAGTGATATAAAAGTTTCTTCTCAGACTCTTTTGATCAGCTCTAAACAAAAGTGGATACTCTTGCCTGTTGGCACAGAGAGCTCTCCTACCTTCCTGCCCTTTGGTTTACTCCTTTCTTTTGGTGGCTTCTTGACAAAGGGCAGAAAGGAAATACCAAAGGCCCTAAAGTAGGAACATCCTTGATATATCTGAGTGGACCTGGAAAGGATGAGTCAAGGAGAGTTTTAGGAATTAAACTCTAAGAGGTAATAGCACCAGATCATGTAGGGTCTTTAGGCCATGGTATGGATTTTGGCTTTTACTCCGGATGAGAAGAGAAGCCACCAGAGGGCTTTGAGAAAAGAAGTGACGTGATCTGCCTTTTTATCTGGATCACGATGACTGCTGGATAGAGGGAAACAACTAAATGGATAGAGGGAAACAACTAAATGTCAGTAAGAGTGAAAGCAGGGAGGTTTCTACAGTGAAGAGTTTACTGCAAGAATCCAGGTGAGATTTGGTGGTGCCTCATTCTGAGATGGTGGCAGTGAAGGAGGTGAGAAGAAGTCACATTCTGGATATATTTTGAAGTGGATCTGCAGGACTTGCTGATTGGAATTGGATGTGGAGAAAAGTCACTAAAGGATTAGTGTTTGGTCTCAGCAATCAGAGGGATAGAGTTGCCACTTAACAAAGGGGCAAGATTAGGGAACAGCTGATTGCGATGAAAAACTAAAGTTTGATTTTACACATCTTAAGTTTGAAATGCCCATTAGACAGCTTGGAAGCTGGATATTTAAGTCTGGAGTTCAGGACTGAACCCTGAAGCACTCCAATGTTCAAAAATTAGTAATATTTGGAGGACTCAACAAATGAGTCAGACAATTCATAGCTAGTGAGGTAAGACATAAAAGCCAAGAATGAGGAATCCCAAAAGGAAATAAAGAAATTGCCTCAAAATAGAGTATGTGATCAACTTGTCAAAGCTTCTAATACCTCCAGGAAGATGACTGAGGACTGAGTCCTGGATTCATATGGATGGGCAACAGGAAGGTCACATGGGACCCTGACAATGAAATTTTGGTGGCTTATCAGGGGCAAAAGACAAACTAGAGCACATACAAGAGAGAACTAGGTATGGAATGTTACCTAAGTGGAATTCTTACCCAAAATGTTTTAACCTGAATCAAATCACAAATACATTCTCAGACAAATCTTAATTATGAGACATTCTTCAAGAATTCTTTGGCTCTTCAAAAGTGTCAATGTTATGAAAGTTAAAAAAAAAAAAAAGGAGGGGATTATTTTGGATTACAAAAGACTCAAGAATCTTGACTTGACAGCCAGATGCAATGTATGATTCTTCACTGGGTCCTGGATTAGGGGAACATTTGAGGAACAACTAGAGGGAATTTTAAATATAGGCTGTGTATTAAATAACATTATTGTACCAATGTCTCATTTCTTAGAGTTCATAATGCATTTTAGGTTATGTAGGAGCATGACCTTGTTCTTGGGAAATACATGTGCAAGTATTTAGGGGGAAGTGATAAAGTAATTTTTCTTTAAGATGTTTCAATGGAAAATATGCATCTGGAGGTGGGGAGGACACAGAAATTTGGCACAATGCCAACAACTGGCAAAATCCACGTGAAAGGTACAATGTGAGATGTTGGGAATTCTAAAGTGAATAAAATGTCACTCCATTGCTCCCTGATTTGGGTCTTCCTTGGGAAGTGACAGGATATTTTGTATTCTTGGTCTGAGGAGGGCAACCATCAGCTGACTACTGTTGCCCCGGTGTCTCAGTTTACTGCAGGCTTCAGCATCTCTTTGGTGACCCTGGCCTTCATCTCTAACAAGCAATCTTTGCGTTAGCGACAGTGAGGAAACAGTTATAATGCTTCATATTTATTCAGCTTTTTTCTGTGTACCAAGCCCTATGTTAAGTGCTTTTACATGCATTATTTCACTTAGTCCTCTACAACTTAAGAGATGAAACTGAAAGCCACTTAGCTTGTTAGTGGCAGGGCCAAAGCCCTCACTTCTAAACCACCACTATACTCCCTAAGCTCCTTTGTCAGGAGAGGACAGATTGCGGAGATATTTAAGAAGCATGACCTATAGAACTTGGCAAATTGGTATGTTCCTGGAGAGTGGAGGTGGAATTTTGTTTTGAAAAATAAAAAAATTAAATGATCTACAGGCCTGTTCAAGATTGTTATCATCTTCCTGCTTAAAATGTGATTTTCTACTAAATATGCTTTCGCTAGAGGATCCCTGCCAGTGGAAAAAGCATTCTTCTTACCTTTAATGTAACAACAGCGCAGAGACATAAATCCCTTGAAAATGTCTGACCACATGTGCTCTTTCCATCTTTACTCCAAATGCCCTTTTTCCCAACTTTTCATTGCAAGTCTACAGAATAATTGGAAGAACAGCACAACCAACAGCCATATACCTTTCACCTAGATTCCTCAATTGTTGATGTGCCAAATTTGCTTTCTCTCTCTTGCCTGTCTTACATTTTTTTCCCCCTCTGCAATACTTTAAGTTGTAGGCATTATGTCACTTCACTTCCAAGTACTTGCATATGTATCTCCCAAGAACAAGGGTTCTCTCCTATATAACCCACAATTCCGTTATCAATCCCAAGAGACTGGACACTCATGCAGCAACACTATTTAATGTATAGCCCATGTTCAAATTTTGCCCAAGTTGTTCCAAAAGCAGGTGCACTGAACAGAATAAAGAAATTCTAGCCCCAGAATTATGAGGAACTTGCTTTGCAAGGGGTCTTAGTTTCCCCATTTGTAGACAGATGATGGTAATACTTGTCTAGGTTTTTTGGAGGATAAATTAATAAATGTGAATACCCTTTGCAAACTCAATTCACTGTACAAATCCAAGGAAGGCTGAAAGATCAGAAAGCTACCCGGGTGCTGGTGCTTTCTTAACTATGGCAAAGTTAGTGTATTTTAGAGGTCAAAACACAGTACACATTTTCTCAAAGGCATTCCTAAAGTCCACAAAGGAGGTATCGTAAACTTATCAGAACATAAAATTTTCTTGCCTTGTAACAAAAATTATTTTACTTCTTAAACCCTGAGTGACTGCACACTACAAAAGTTAAAATGAGACAGAAGTCAGTGAAATAAAAAGTGAAGCTTTTCCCATTTCCATCTATCAATTATTTTCAATTTAAGGGAAAATAAAATGCAGCTCATAAATATCTTAATTTTTTCTGAATTCAGTCTTGTGTAGAAAAGCTTCCTCATCACGGTCCTAAATGCCTCTTAGTCTCAGGCTCTCCATTTCATAATTTACCCCCCAATCATCAGAAGAGTACATTTCTAAAATTTAAATTTGATTTGACACTCCCTTAATTAAAAACTCCTAGACCCTACAAGTAAGGCCTTAATGTCTGTCACCAGGTATTCAATCTCAATGCCCACCTATATTCCATCATAATGTCCAACAATATCCCCGCCATGCTTTGAGAGGCAGGTCTTTCCTTTTGTACCAACTTACTTTGTTCATACAATAAGTGCCTATACATCTTGCAATACCCAGCTCAAGGGTCACCTTCTCTCTCCCTAATGCCCACAGAACAGAGTTAATCATACATTGTATGCTTTTGCTGAGCTTAAACATAGGTCTACTCTAACACTTAATACAGACTTCCACAATCATTTATCTATACAACTGTTTCTCCTATTCTACAGTAACTCTCCTAAGGACATACATTTTTAAGTAATCTTTGTTTCCCCGGGGTCTAGCATAATTTTTTGCATCTAGATGGTATTTACTAAGTGCTTGCTACACTGACTCTTATCCATGCACAGCTTCTTCACTAAATAAAAGAAGTTAGGTTATTGCTTGAACCACAGATTGATTATTCAAGGCCAATGTGTGACCACCAGTCAGTAATATGCCAAACTTCCCACAGCCACTGATTCAGGGTCACCTCCTGGGCTCACCAATGACAGGTAAGGAGAATCAATTACAGAGAATTGGATTTTAGATTATTACAAACACTGGTTCCACAACTTCATTGGGGCTGAAAGAGAAGGGTTTAACAGTACCTGATGAAGGCAAAGGGGAAGGGCTCTTGAATCCAACTGCTCAACTTCACCTCGTGTAAGTGAGAACAGAGATTGAAGAACTAGCTTTGGGGCTTCTGGCTGATCATTAGCATTTACTTCTGCAGACTCTTCATCACTAACTGCATGTGTGGCTGCATTTAGTATATTTTCTTTCATTAAAGGTGTGGCATCTCCTGAAGAAAGGCCTTTAAGAAATAAAATGACTATGTTAGGATAAATTTCCATCATGGTGGAATACCTTAAAACAATTATGCCTGTTAGCCATAAAATTTTCTAATAAAACTATGTGGAAAAAAAAATCCCAGAAACCACAAGTTATTGTCTTCATTAAATTAAGATTTTGCTGACATCTAATTGCTTCTATTAGCACACACATAAACTGGTTTTTTTTTTGCAAATAATTAAGAGTATTAATAAAAAGAGAGCTAAAGAAAAGTATGCAGGTTAAAACTTGATTCTCCTAAAGGAAAATGGATTAGCTGTATTTTGAAGTCCTGGCTTGCCCCAAATAAAACAGAATTGAACAGGAAGATAAATGCATTTATTATATGAAACAACTGAAGAAATTAAGCCTTCCTATTTAAACTATGGTCTGATAACTTTAGAAATACTTCTGGATCACAGGAGACCAGCAGGAATTCAGATGCCAGAGTTAATGGACACAGAAACTTTTCTCCTAATGAAAGGAGGTAACACAAATTTCTTTAAAAAAAAAAATCAGTGAATATATGATTGGCCCATTTGTCTGAAATAACACTCTGAATTTAAAAAATGTATTCATTGTGCATTTTAATTCTACCCTTTGCTGAAACCTCAGTATCAGTTCTAATTTTCATATTCAAATTTAAAAGCTGTCAGCATCTATATATACATTCAGCCAAAATGCCTCAGAAAAGATCTTTTTCAGTAATTTAGTGTATGTACAACAATGGAGGATACCCCCTGCAAGCCCTCCAGCGTGTGCCCAGAACCCGGTCTTCTACTGCCTTCTAAATAAACCCACTGCTCTAGCCAGAGTGGCTAGTTCTTCATAACTCTAGTAAAGTACTCTGTACTTTTCTGAGCAATTATAGATTCTAACAGGTGGAATATTTTTCTCCCATCTATGCCTATTTATGTTTTACTCTAACAAAATCTTTGTATTTCTCTATGAGCCTGAAGTAAACTTATTTTTCTCTGAATCCTGTATATATTATATTAAGCTGGACTGCATTATAGTAATTGGTGAAAGGTCTTATCTTTAATTAGATCATAACTCCTGCAGCACAGGGATTTATGTTCTTTGGTTGCGATTCTATCCAGCAGTATCTTTAACATTAACATTCCGAGTGCTGTGCTTTCTAAAAATGATCATCTACAGTGATTTCTTATATTTTAGAAAATCCTCTTCTATGAATATTATCACTTGGGCTCTGAAGGTACAAGGCCTGGTGATGGCCTGCTATTTTGCAGGGACAGTATTTGTGAAAACATAGATTGTTCTTCTGCTTTCTAATTTTCTAACCACAATTGTAGTAGTGCCAGTGTGGGACGAGAAGCTTTCCACAGAGGACTACAAAGAAACTAAGAGAACCACTGTTTTTCTTTCCCTTTCCCCAGCCATGATACTATCCCCAAGACATTTCATCTCATACAGACTGCGATAACACTAGCCTCCCAAATTCTATACTTGACTAACTTCTTCCCACATAGTTATCAAATATTACTCCATGCTCTTCCTTCAAAAAAGGTGAAATTTTATAATGCTTATTTTCAGTAAAGGGAAGTTAAATAAAATTCTTGAAGAATATTACCAAAGGACAGAATTATCAAGGGTCAGAAAAAAGGACAGAATTTATGATTCCCTTATCTAAAGGGACCTTGTTTTAAAACTCAGCAAGGTCAATCACATTAGCTCTGTATGTCCCTAACAGTGGATTTGGAGTTATATGAATTTTTAAAAAATGCACAACATAAAACTTACTACTTTAACCATTTTGAAATGTATAATTCAGTGATATTAATTATATTCACAATGTTGTGTAATCATCACCCCCATCCAGCTCCAGAACGTTTCATTACCCCAGACAGAAACTGCTCCCATTCAACACTAACCCCCCCACCCTCACCCCCACCGCCCCCCGTTCTCCTCCTGCTTCAGCCACTGGGATCCTCTATTCTACTCTCTAACTCAATGAATTTGCCTATTCTAAATACCTCACATAGTATTCCTCAGGGCTGTACAATTTAATTCCATACCTCTGGGCATAAGTTCTTGTTAATGGAAAACCTAAAGTTAAAAGGCCTTGAGTGACAAAAGCAAAATCAATAGAGTAAGCCACATCAAACTCCCATCCTTCCAGAAACATAAAAAAAAAATGCCAGAACGACCAAAGTCAATTTTGTCAAAACTCAGGAAAAATAGCCATAGGTATACAGCCACACAGTAAATGCTGAATCAAGAGAAGGGCAATGTGAAACTGGTAGGGAATCTTTGTGGCATTTTTAAATCCTTGCCTTAGCCTCAGCCCCTCTCCAACTCAACAACAGCCTTTATGACACCAGCACATGCTCCCCATGTGGGACCCTGGTCTCTGGTTCCAAAGGGAGAAGAGCAGACTTTACTTGCAAATTGATTGAGTTTGTACACTAAACTGTATGCTTAAAATGGCAAATTTAAGTTATATATTTTACTTTAATAAAAAAAAAGAAAAATGCCTTCCTTTCTGTAATTTCATGTTATGATTCTCTAAGCTACTGTATAACTGAATTCTTCAAACTGCCTTACTTGTTTATGCTTATGGAGTATCTTGGCCATAATTCTGGAAGATGGATCAGAACTAAATTTTAATAATGGTTTATGTAGTTCGTATGCCAGACTCTCTGGGCTTTGCTCCTAGTTTTCCTGCCAAATCTCCTCACTCTAAGATTCTGGTTAGTGAGTGACATGAAAGTAGACAGGAGCTTACCATTTAGTTGGCTGAACACAGTTAAGTAGTAAAAAGGAAATATTCCTTCCTCTTCCTCAACACTTAAGCACTAATATTATGGGTCAGATAAATCTGAAATGAGCCAACATCCTTCTGACCTGACCTGGGGTCAAAGGCATACCTTATGTAATTATAGGGCATAACTTGCCCTTTGCTTCACAAGGCATGGTCTCCTCCTGTGCCCTCTGGCGGCAGCCTCTGCCTTCAGAGGGAACAGCACACTTAGGAACTCTGGCTGCAGTCAAGCTGGCCCAAGGCCTAAGGTAAGTGACCTGACTCTTCTCACCCTGGCTGTTCATGGATTAATGGTGAAGGTGAAGTACACCTGCACACACAGTGCACTCAGCACTGGGAGGCACTCAGAGCAGCAGCACTGGTCTCTCCACTGAGCACTGGGTAAATGGTTTCTATGTTAGTACAGGGATGGAAAGACTTAGAACAGCTCCTGGACTTTATTTTAGGCAGCTTCTTAACAATTACTATTACTATTTCAGGACTGGGTGGAGGGACACAACTCAAACAAGGCTGAAGAACCACTCCTTTTATTAACTAAGGCATCTATGTTTAAGTGCTTTAGGAGAAATGTGCCATCACAGCAGACTCTTAAGGACAGCAACATATAAACCTTCAAAAGAATGTTCTTATTTTCCTATCAGGTAGATGCCACGAAAGGCATCTTTCTTGAGTGGAAGGAGTGGCCCATTTCACAGCTTGTTTGCTTTGATGAGCTCTAATTACTCATTAGAAATTTTAATGAACCACACTCAACCCCTGTCTAGATCTAGAAGCCTACATTTAAGTACCTCTGCCTCCAGCCAGACTGTCTAGAACTCAAAGACCATAATTTATTTTCTCCTTTCATATAAAAGGCTCACTTAGGATACACACTGAGTATCCTAAACTCAATATTTAGATTTATGGATACACAGTGGATCTGAAAAAGCACTTCAAAAAATGAACTTGGTGCAACACAAAGGGAATTTAGCAAATACATGCCCATAAGTGCTCCCCAGGCTTGTTTAAGGCCAGAGTCTCTGCATGTGTATCACTCTAAGTGGCCACTCCCAAGGGCAGTTACCCCCTTTCTATCACAGCGCTTATAGCTACTCCCTCAGGTTTGACCACTGCCTAGAGTTGCTCCAGGCTGTTTTCAATTCATATGCAAGGCACAGTTGGCACACAGAAATACTGCTGGGATTTAGGCTCTAAATTATGTGTAATATGTCAAGTGGCATCAATGTTCGGATTCCCTAATTTTCCTCTTAGAAGTTTGACTAGACCTGCTTTAACACATTTTATTAAAAACTAAAAATATGCAAGGGATTCCCTTAAGCATGCAATTGATTATGTTAAACTTCTCATCCAAATATACAGACAACTCGAGCACCAAAGTTTCCAATGCAATTAAAACATTAGTTTTCCATGAGAAGTGCTTCTAACACCCAAATGGCTAAATTTTACTGTAGCTTCCGGTTTATTCCAAGAACGCTGAATCTATCAGCTATCAAATACAATATATACTTCTTGGTTCTTCAGGACAAATAAAGATAAATAAAATTACCAATTTGATGTGACCTTATAAGAAACCTATCTTCTTATACATTGAATTACACATACTTTGTTTCTCTAACAAATATAAAGGCATACACTTAAATTCAAAACTTAAAAATAGTGTCTATCTCTGGAAAAAGGGGAAGAATCTACATATCCAAAGTGTAACGTTATAGGCACCAGAGGGAGGAGTGAGCCTGTCAGACACTGATGACCTGCCAAAGTCCCCAGTTGTTGCCCCCTCCCAACCTGAAAAATGTGCCTTAGGCTAGCCAATCCTTGCGCCGCTGTAAATCTAAGCTCTGCCTCCCCCTACCTTCTTTAAAAAACTTGCTGCCTGCCCTGCTGAGTGTGACTTCCCCAGCCTCCATTTCCATAGACTGGGGAACATTGCCCGGGAATTGCACTCAAATAAACTGCCTGGCCCTTTGTTGCCGCTCATCGCCTGCTTATTTCGGCTAGAATTTATCTTACATTTGGTGCCGAAACCTGGGAAGGAGTGTGAGCATGCGGCCCCAACCGGCCATCGGCGGCCCTGCCCCCTCCTTCCTCGACCCGGGACCTCAGCCTGCTCTCCACTTCGTGGACTATTTTCCGGTGAGTCCCTCAGTTTTCCCCAGTCTGTCTCCCTTCCTAACTCCATTTCATCTGGTCCATTCGAAATC